ATGTGAAAATCGACTCGATTAAGTAGATTTAAAATAGTGGTCTCTGGTTCTGTTGTGGCAGTCTCCAATTCTTCTTTAGCAATATTTTTGTTTGTGAAATTAGAGAAGCAAATGGTCACTCATCCATGACCATGGTGAATATTGACACTTAAAATGCTAAGACAACTCTGCAAACAATAATATTATAAAGCATTAAAACTAAAAACAAACTGTTTATTTCTTGGGCATGATAAAAAGCCACGCCATAAACTTCAGGCCAATTTGAATTCATGGGAGAAGGCCGGTGACAGCCCTGTCCATCATTGCACACAGTGAGTTTAGGAGTGAGTTTAGGAAGATCATTGGTGCAACAGATGTCCTGTTGACCCCCATAAGCCGAACCACTAATCCTCTCTCTATCTTCAACCTCGAAAACAAATGCTTGAATCGACCATGAGGTAAAGTTTGATAATTCCTTGTTAAGACAAATTGTGACTATATTAAACTTGTTTTCACATGACAAAATCAAATCGCAATCAGCATAATTTCATTTAACGTATCAATCCGTTATTCAATTTGTTGATTGGTCCCCTACTGATTCAAGTGTGAAATCAATTATCAGCCTCCATATCCATACATATTCCAAAAGAAGAACCGATTAAATCAAGAAAATAAATACAAAAATCTCAATTAGATACAAATAAATATAATAGTAAGCAAAATAAACAACAAAATTGATGAGAATATACTGCCTTCGCCTTCTTTTATCAAACATGTGATGGGAGAAATTGAAATTTAAATAGATTAATAATAAATTGAAAGAGGAAGCAAAAGAAATAAGCTTCTATCTATTTGGAGAATCAATCATAAATATGTATGTGTGAGCTTTGTATTCAAAAAGACTAAACAAATAAAAAAAGCCAAAACTCAACCTCATATTTTAATTAAAAAAATTAAAAAAATTGAGAAATAAAATCTGAATAAAAAAAACATACCTAACAGCAAAAAATAAACAATATCATGGTTGTGTTGTTCGTCACATGCAAGCTCAAAAATCCCCTTCTGCAACTCTCAAACCTAAAGATAAAGATATCCCATTTTAGGTGTCAAGTTAAGCTTTTTTTTTTGGAAAAAGAGAAATAGTAAGACAACCCTGAAAACGAAAAGAATACAACATAAAATATGATATTCCAAACTACATTTCAGTTTCAACTTTCAATCACATGTTTCAATCACTCACCTTCGTCACTTACATATGTATGAATCAAATTAACGTTAAAAATTGCATTTGAAGGAAATTCTTTTATAGATCTATAACAGGTGTTGTTGGTTATTGATGTTGTTGAGATTCAGAGGTCTTGGTTGCGACCACCATTCTTACGCTTGAACGTCTGAAACAAATAAATTAACAGGTTAGGATGAGAATATTAGATGGTTGAGATTACAATGAAACGAAATTGATAGCAACAAAGAGAGAAGAATGAAAAGAGATGGAGCGGCGCAGGAAGAAGATGAAATTAGGTTTTCTGATTTGTGTTTTAATAGAGTTGGGTGAATGAGTTATTTGTTGCATCTTGGGAAAAACGATTTATTTGGTTGTATAGATTTACCGTTTCAAGAACTCAACATTTATGATGATTGTTCAAATATAAATAAAATAAATTAATAAATCAAATAAATAAAAAATAGTGTAAAATTATGATAGATTGACATGTCAGCAAAATTAAATGTCAAATGAATATGGTAACAACATAGTGTTGATTAATCTATTATACCATTGAAATAAGAAAAATTATAACATCTAATCAAAAAGTTAGACTTGGAATTTCTAGGTACTTTACTTTTAATATATTGATAATAGATAGATAGATAATAGATAATAGATTTTCTTTAAGAAAAACCTAAAAAATATAAATTAATCTAGAATAATAACAATAAATGCTATTGTGTTAATGTAGGCTCTACATAAAAAAAAAAAAAAACTCTATTTGCAAATAAACGAAGGAAATTCGAAACACATAAAAAGCGTTTAAATTTTCTAAGATTAATGTCAATCTTCAACCAAGATTTAAATTTCCAAAAACAAAAATTATTTTTTAGATCTGTTTTCTCCATATATGTTTTTCTCCAGATCTGATTTTCTCAACATTTGTAGAACTTTTTTTCTAACATTGTGATTCCCAATTTTATGTAAAACACACACACAAAAAGAGAACCTAGTGAATCTAACCGTTTTCTAAAGAACAATCTCACCATTAACATAAACATAAAAGAGATAAGCATGATAAAGTGGAACAAAACGTATCTAAAAATGTTGCCAAATCAACTGAAAATACAACATAAATCGAAACAAAATTGATAAATTTACAACCTGCAAAAAAAAAAGAAAAAACATATTAAATAGAGTTAAAATAGACATTTATTGAAAATGAAAGATGAAGAAGAAAAAAAGTTAGTTTGTAAAGAGAAAGATAAGCATTATAAAATAAGAAGATGAATGGGTCTTAGAATGAGATAGGGAAGAAAAATGAAAGAAAAAAAAAAAGAGAATGAGGAGAACATTGGAAAGAATATAGAGAGTGTGTATGGATATTTGTAGCATTTAACTTGACATTTTGGTTAGAGAAATATTTTAGAAGAAATCAAATGACATGCAAAAAATATATTATTAACATAGGTGTATCAGTTAGTTGAAAAAAAGACACTATGCAAAAGAAAAAAAACATAGAATTAGGAAGCAATTAAGTGATTTCATTAGTTAGAAAAAATAATTTTTGAACATCAAATACTCTCATTTTAAATACATGGCAGTCACTAGGTTAAGGGCATAAATGAACTTTTCTGAGCAATTTCTTTTCTTATATTATAGATATATTATAGATATATGTACAAAGTCATTTTTTAAAGTGTTTTGTAAAAAATTGATAAAAGAATAATATGACGTATTATTACAAAGTTATTGAAAATTACTTAGAAGACGGTGGTTCACAATCACATATTAAAAGCAAATTTATCATAGAAGATATTATCAATTTGGTAGCACAACATGCAAATGCATATCCTTTATCAACACAATCAATATGGATCTATGATAGATGATTCAACAAGTAAATGTGTGAAATTTGTCTGTGAAAAATTAGGCCAATGGTTTCAACTTGTTGGCACTAATGTTTAGTTTGGGTTATGAAATTCTATTTTACTATATTCAGAGCTTTCCTCTCATCTATTATTTACTATAGGCTTACGAACTAAAGCAAGTCGATAACTTTGTTATTTAGTTTTAATTACTATATTGTTTTCTTTTCAAAAGCCATCACGAAGCACCAGTGGTCTAGTGGTAGAATAGTACCCTGCCACGGTACAGACCCGGGTTCGATTCCCGGCTGGTGCATTTAATTTTTTAATTTTCTTCTGCAATTGAAAGTGTAGTTTATGGCATTTAACTTTTTTAATTTTCTTCCGCAATTGAAAATGTAATTTATGGCATGGATCTAGCTAGCACCGAGGCCCAACAAAACCAGTATAAAAACACAACCTTTACGACCTAAAAATACACAGCTTTCATTTCCTTCTCCTCATAGCACCCTAGGTCTTCAATTTCATTTCTTTTTTATTTTTGTAACATTATTTTCTCTCATTCTCTACTAAAGTTTCAATTTCATGAATCTGATTTAGTGCATCTGTGTCTGTTTTGAATAAACTGATACATAGATCTAAAATGGTTGAATAACCAGATCCAAAACAAAAACTCCAATATTTTTGTTTCATTTATTTTTATGTATTTAAATCTAATTTGTTTTAGAAGGGTTTGCAAATGATGTTAAAAATTAATTATGCTTAACACTGATTTTATTCTGTGAAGATAAAAAACTCCGCTTATTATCTGATGCAACCCTTATCTGATCTTCACTAGTTTGATTTCAATTTCAATTTAGTATGAATAATTTTGTGGATGATGAGAAATGTTTCAATTAAACAATGCTGTGGATGATGAGAAATATGAATTTAACAGTTATCCCTGTCTGATACTGCAGTGCAGGTGCTGAGAATTTGTTATCTGACACACTTTGGTTTGATTTGGTTTTGTTATTTTTTGTGGGTGTTTCTAAACTTAGTTTGTGGCTGTCTCATTTATATAACGAAAATGTTGTTTATCTTGTTAAATTTGATTTTATTGGAATTTTTTCCACCAGATTCATTGTTATTTTTTGTGGGTGCTTCTAAACTTAGTCTGGCTGTCTCATTTATATAAAGATAATGTTGTTTATCTTGTTAAATTTAATTTCATTGGAATTTTTTTTATCAGATTCATTGTTTTCCATTACTTGGTACTCTTAATTTGTGTATTGGCTGTGATGAGTCATAGAGATAGTCATGCACCACTCTGATGTTTATGTGCTGATAATTTTCTCATACCCATTATTTCTCTGAGCCATTTTCTTTCATTACCAAGTCAATGAAGTTTTCTAGTATGAATTTTTTCTTCTGTTTTCTTAAATATATTTAGATTGAGTTTATATTGTGAGTGAAGCATTTGGATCTGAAATTGTATTTGTTGGTGATATCCTGGAATCGAGATTTTCTCCATACTGAATTGCAAATATGATCACTTTAAATTTGATTTAGGGTTTGATTTGCTGATATTTTCATGGTTATTCTTTCTCACAGGTATTTTCTATTTTCCATTGCCATATATATATTTTGCAATCTGGTATAGTGTCTTATAAAATTATAAATTTTAAATTATAATCATTTGTTCTTAATTGGACTATAAGTTACCCATTGAATGTGAAAATGCGGGATTTTTTAATTACAGGAAAACTCGGACTACATTTTTGGGTGAGATGTGTAAGACTCAAGTTTGATGATATTCTAACGAAAACAAACATCTCCTTCTAAGGAGAAGCTCATTTTCTCAAAACAACCTTATTCAATCACTGGCTAAGGCAGGATGGCCATAAGCTTATACTTTCTTCACATTAAACAAGTATTCCAACTTTCCCAAAAATTTTAAACTACATTCAGCTCCAAGTCAATAATGATGGAAAAAAACAAAGTGTCCTTGGTGACAAATGTGTCAAAGATGAATTATTTTTCTTGTGTTTGTTTTTCGATTTGAGAAATTTTGAGTTCTGTGTAAGGTTGTTGTCATGTTTTTTTGACTTTTGTGGAGGTGGTTTACTAGAATCACCTTTCTTTCTTTTATTAACCACAAGCTTGGGTTGTCCATTTGTTATATTTATTTCAAGAGTTCTTGCATCTTTAAAACTCTTGACGCTTTTAAAAGATTTAAATAATTTCTTCATCAAACATTTTATACTATGTGGTATTTAAGGTGATTAAAAATGGGTTCGATATTAAGCTGAAATAGACATGTGTTTTTTATTTGAGCAGTCAAAAAATTTTAGAATTAAGTGGATGTTTGATTTAGTTTTTGAAATGATCAAAAACAATTCTAAATTTATAGAATTGATTTGAGTGATTTTAAAATGTTTTTTTAGATAAAAGTGGAATTAATTTTATCTTTAGAATTGATTTGAGTTTAATTCTGTTAAATTTAATTATAATAAAATCAATTTTATCAAACTCAATTTTGTTAGAATTAATTCTGTCAATTGCTAATTCAAACGCAATTAAATTATAATAGAAATATTAATATATAAATATGAAAGTGTGAAAAAAAATCAAATTACTACTATATTTTGTTTATTTTCATAATTTTTTATTAAATATTATTTTATTTAATATTATTATTATTATTTTTAAAATTTTAACATTGTTTTATTCCTTAGGATATTGTAAAGATTACCACAGAAAGATTGTGAGTTTTTTTCTTTACTTGTCATGCAGTAAATGAGTTCAGTGTCCCACATCACTAAAGTTAACGAGTATGGGTGTAAATCTTTGCTTATACATGAAGTTTTTAGCTAACCTCACAAATTTAACTCATTTTGAAGTGTTTTGGATTATCATTATCATATGAAAAGAAAATTAAGAATGTAACACAAAATTAAAAAAAAAATGAATAACTTTAACTCACTCTTCCTTTTAGGTTGCATCTCATACTTACACTTATAAATGATCTACAATCTCTTGGCAAAGTTTTTTTTGTCCATCAAAACAAATATAACACTTTTCTAGCCTTGGTTGCAAACCTGGCCCATGTCACACAATGTTCAAATTGAAAGTATTTCCTGATGAAACCTTTGCCAATTTAGCACCATATGACTATGCAAACTACATTGCTTGGTATAGTTTCATTCAAAATCTTTTTTATCAATCTATATTTCTTTAAAATCCTTACAACCATAAATCTCACTTGCATACTTGAGTCCCTCATTTGTCACCAGCTTAGTTTCATCTTGAAATTGTTATTCAACTTATTATCAATCACTTCCACAACCGATTTTGTCTTGAAACTTTTATTGATAAGTTTTCTTCTACATTTGTACTTGAGAAACAAGACTTTAACTTTGAAAATTATGGTTCTTACAACCCTATTGCATGATATGATGTAGTCATAATTCTTATTATATTTGCAATGACCATACACCTCCTTGCATCACTTTACAAATTTAACTTTATTATGCATCATATGGCCCTGTTGATATGCCAATCGAAACATCACTTGGTTAACATGCCTGTCGAAAGGCACTTTGTACGCTATAACAAAAAACAACCTTATTTAAGATGTCCGTCAAAGCTGCCTTGTTGGAAATGCCCATTGAAAGGCCCTATACCAATCGAAGGATCTTTTGTAGATGTCAATCGAAGGACCTTCTGTAGATGTCAATCGGAGGACCTTTTGTAGGTACCAATCTAAGGATACTTAACCATCATTTGAAAATTTCCCTTTTCTTTAGGCAAAGGTTTGTAGCCACCTATGCGAGAGGATATCTTGAAAAAACATGAGAGAGCAAATTTTGGGGTACAACACAATCAGATAAAGATTGCTCCTAAAGACATGGATAAAACAACTTTCACAACTCCTTGGGGTACCTTTTTCTATAAGGTCATGCCTTTTGGTCTCAAAAATGTTGGTGCAACATATCAACATGCTATGGTGACACTCTTTCACGACATGATTCATAAAGAGATTGAGGTGTATGTGGATGATATGATTGCAAAATCGCAAATCGAGGAAGAACATTTGGTCCATTTGAAGAAGTTGTTTAATCGTCTACGAAAGTTTATGTTAAGGGTTAATCCCAACAAGTGCACCTTTGGGGTTCGAACGGGCAAGTTACTTGGTTTTATCATAAGTCAACGAGGCATTCTAGCAATTGATTGGTATGACTAGAATGCCTTGAGGTGATCTGTAACGTGGAGATCAGTTTGCAACTTTTTCTTAAATTTTTTGAAATTTGTTCTCTCTCTTGCATGCCTCCAACTTCTTGTTTTTTGATATGCATTTGTTCCTTATGTATCCAAGAATGTATTAGGGTTACAATTTGTTTCAAATCTTCTCCAATTATGAATATTGATTCATGATTCAATCCTTGCACCAAATCTTTCCAAATCAAGCAAAATCAATCTTTTTGTGTTGATAGGAAAATAGCAAGTGTACTATTTTTGCCTATTGTAGTAATAAGAAATTTATTTCCCGAATATCGTTCTCAAGGATTGCGTGAATATACCAATTAGTTTGATTCAATTGAACAAAATAACAATGTGATTTGTTTAGGAATATAATCTAAAAACTAAAACAAGTACAATAGTTTGCTCTTCAAATATTAAAGGTGCTAGGGGGAATAGCCAATTTTGCTTGCAAAGAATGGGATTTCACGAAAATTAACGAACAGTTATTTGTTTTATAATATCAACCCTTAAATTGGTTTTCCGGAGTCCTCCGAAAAACCTTATGAACCTTTATAAAGCACATCAATACCCATGAATATACGATCATAAATTCATTCATTCACAAAACCGGGTTTTCAGTGATGTTCATGAGATGCCCTAGTCCTAGGTTCATCAACTATAAACCAATCGTGCAAGAACCCTAATCTATGTAGTCCTACAAAGATTAGCCGTAGATCATTCTTAATTTTTCCTAGAAAGAATGCATAAAAACATTGCACAATTGAGAATAAACACAAACTTCATAATTCAATAACTTAGAAATCCCAAATTCATTACAATAGCAAATTAGGACTACCCCCCTAGCAATGGGGGGTTTAGCCTCTCATTGTTCTCAAGTAATCCTTAAAGAAAAAGCAAGACATTACTTTAAGGTTGATGATGATGTAGATCTTCAATGGTGTCCACCCTTGAATTTCTTCACCTTCCCCCTTTTCACGTCAAAACCTTCTCTTCAATTTGATTCCTTATTCCCTTCATTCCAAAAGTCCTTCTCCCTTTTGGAAATCCTCTTTTTATCACTTTAGGTCTCAGGTTCTCGATCCAAATACCCAGAATACCCCCAGACACCTCCAAAGTCTCAAAAATCATAAAGAACAAATTTCAGCCACGCACGCTGACACGGCCGTGTCAGCTGACACGGTCAGACCGTGTTCGTTTCTGGGGCTTGGCTGGGTGTGCGTAGAGAAGGCTGACACGGCCGTGTCAGCTGACACGGTCAGACCGTGTTCGCCACTGCTTCCCCTCCTTGCATTTCACTTAAATTCCTCTTTTCATGCACCAACTTTTGAGGGATCCTTCTCCAATCAAGACTGTACCTACACAACTCATCAAACGGGATCAAATGCACCAAAATCAACTCAATTAAACTACATAACCATAGAATAAAATAAAAACGATAAATACTCAAAGAAGACAATGAAAACTAAGCAAATTTATACAAAATGTTACCAAAAGATAAAAACTAATGTCGAATTCATGATGAAAGTAAGAAGAAATGGTGACCGATCACAACCCCAAACTTATCTCATTGCTTGTCCTCAAGTAATGCAAAAGACAACACAAAAGGTCACCTCGAATTGCTTTTCACCTCAACATAACCACAGTTTTTCGCAATTTGTTTCCTCTTCCCGATCGAACGCTTAGCTCCCTTCATTAGAATGTCCGCCTTACTTCCACATCCAAATACTCTTTCACCTGCAAGTTTTCACATCCTCACAATATCTCTCAGGGTTACAGATTTTTTTTCACTCCTAGTCCAGAGTATGCAATACCGACTCTTAACTTTGAATCAATTCTACTTTCACCACATCAACAAAATTCACACACTTTTTGAGGTCTTTTACGGTTGTAACGGGGCTTAGGACAGGAGAGATAAACAAAAAAAAAAAAAAAAAAAAAAAAAAAAAAAAAAAAAAAAAAAAAAAAAACGGATTAACTAATGGTTTATTAGGCTCGGTACTCATGTTGTGTTCCTCATCCTTGTGCACGCTTTGATGTATTGGGGTATTTTACTCGAACTCTTTTACTTCACTCGCATTATTGTTTCTTTAGAGTTCCTTGATATTTTAGGGCAAGTGTTTCTCTCTTTTCTTCTCTTATTTTTTTTTCTTGTCTTAGATTTCTCACATATCTTCGACTTTTCTTTGCAATTTCTTTTCTTCCTTTTATTTTTACACTTGCCCCATTCTCTGATAAATACCACCCCAAACTTGGAATATTTTGCACAATTTCAGAAAAACACAACACTCATACCAAGCAAGGGTAGGAAGTGTTTGGCCATGGGTTAACAGATACGGTTTAAACAACAACAGGAATCAGGCTCAACAGGGTTAACAAAGGATAGATATATAAAATGGATGGCTAGAAAGGCTCAGGGGAATTTAAACAAACAAGTGCCTCAGTGTGTGTCTTCAAGTTGTATGGTGTCCGCAGAACAAACGCAAAATTAGAGGGATAAAAACATACCTGCGTTACTCTCATGATGAGTTATTTGTGTTTGGCTTTTTGTAAACTCACTATGTCGGTTACTTGCAAGTTCCAAAGCATTTCTTTGTGTCATATGGCTTCCTTCTTCTCAAGGGATGCTTCACGGCTCTCTCGGTAAGTAGTTACACCTTGCGTCCAACTCTTAAGTGGTTATGTCAACTTCCGGGGTGCCTTGTGAGAAAAGATTCTTGGGTTGTTCCTTTCATCCATTCTTTCTATTTCACCATTCGTCCAACCTTAGTTCTTACTTGGGCAACATCTTGTAAACAGACACACATACGGGAACTAAAGCAAACACCACAATCAAAAACAAAATAACAAACACAAAAAGAAAAAACAAACTAATAAAATCCCTCCCCCACTTGCACTAAACATTGTCCCCAATGTTTTCGTACATGTGAGAAAGGACTTACATAGCACATCATTGTGGAGGAGGTGGTGGAAAATGCAGCGTCAGTTG